GGGGGGGGGGGGGAAATGTCCACATTTGCAAAGATGTGGGAGTGTACAGAGGAGATATAGACGTGTTGGTTTTAGTACTTGCTTGGGATAACGTTACACCATTAGAAAAAAGAGGGATGTGGTTTCACAGTGAAAGCTCTGCATGTCGTTGCATTGCCAAGACATGAATTCTCTTTATTTACAGCAGCAGTATACAAACATCCCCAGTCGGTACCTCAATCTTATACAAATAATTATTTTTTTGATAATCAACATCACATGTTTGTATACAGCCTTAATGACAAGCGTTTAAAACAGCCTTCCAGGTTTTTTGCAGTCCACGTAGGTTTGACATTATGAGTCATGACCTCATTTCACGAAACAGAATACAGAAAGGCTAGTTCTTACTCTGACTTCGAAAAAAGGAAACAAAACGAGTCAATGGAAGAAATGCATTCCAACACTTTGAAGCACCAATTGTGAAATATTGAAATGTACTGTTCACTGATGGTCAATCTCAATGAGGACGGATGAAACTGGTTTGAGGTAATGATGATGAATGCAGAGATATAGAGTTTCCTGAGTGATACATGAGAGTTTTGCAAACACTGTAAAAGTACCTGCAGAGCATGTTTGTGGTAGAATGCAATCACAACTGAAATGCCCTATAACCCTAAATCCTGGCTTGAAATATATGCTAATAAATTAAAATGCCTTTATACAATAAACTCAATAATATGATAAAAAAATAAATATAAAAAAATGCTTTGCGCTTATAATCAATTTTTTTCTTATTGGATTTTACATTCTAACAGAAGCAGCCACATGACATGAGCTATATGAGTACACGTCCCTGATAATCCACATAAAGACACCCAAACTGTTTGCAGATACTTCCACAGTAAACAATTTGCAGTTCTAAAAATGTTATTCAAAAGTTTATTTTAACATGTTTCTTCTCCGAAAAAAGATTGCACCTCCTGCAACTTGGTTAGCGATAGTCCACATTTGAGATTTTGATCAATTTCTGATTCGTTGTGTACAGACTAGGGCTGGGGATTGTAAATATATTGTTCAATGAGACTAGATGTCGTCATCATAATATCGTAATATGGTGTTGTCTTTTCTTGGTTTTAAAGGCCGCATTACTGGAAAGTGAATTTGATATCTTTGATTTGCATGCACCCACTAAGTCATCATATCTACATTACTGATTAATGATGGCTATTCATTATAAAACTCTTTATGTCAATATTTTATGAACGCACCAATAGTCAAATCGAAAACAATATCGACACTGTGGTATTTGATCAAAAATATCGGATTTTCTCCATATTGCCCAGTCGCCTATACTGATTCTCTAGTAGTACGTTTAATATGACACATTATTGAGCATATATGAATGTTCATTTCACACGCAAAAATAGCAAAAAGATATTATTGGTTCTTGAAATATTAAAAAAGATCGTCTCTTTAGTTCCAAAAACATGTTATTAAACGGTTTGTAACGATTCATGCAGAAAGTAACCCACAAAGAACGTGCGTGTGTGTGTGTGTGTGTGTGTGTGTGTGTGTGTGTGTGCGCGCACATTGGTTCTTCTTAGCACTCAGGGACACAGGCGCTCACACACACACACACTGTAAGGAGATGGGGCGAATCAGACAGTCAAACATCTGTTAACATCTCCTTGTAAGGAGATGAGGAGAACCAGACGGGATTCAACGGACTGCTGACTCATTGCCCTAGGGCCGCCCATCGCCGATGAAGCAACAATTAGAACGATATGAATCGGGACGGAAGCACCGTACAACAACTCCTCCCAGAAACTGTATGTACAGCTGTCTCTAATATCCATCACTGGAACACTCTCTTCTGACTGCTTGCCGTTGATACGTGATTATGCTACATGGTAGTCAGAATTTGACGGTCCAGGGTACCTCTTATCACTCATTGTTAGTGTTGCTTTTACCATTAAAACAGCTCATTGCCTTTATCTCATCAACTCGGTGTTCGAGTCTTTTCTTTAAGACTACTCATCAAACACGGCCCCGCGGCGCAGCATGTCCACACTTCAACCACGCACCTGGGTGGTGCTCTCAACAGTCTTCTGCGTGACCGACTCGAGACGTAAGTGCCGACTCGATAGAAGGAACACGACAGCCAACGGACGAACTTTCCAGGGAACGACACCTCGCAATACCCCTGCACAACACAAAACAGGCGCCTACAACTGGGAACAGCGCCTAAGCACGATACTGTTACTATCAACAATCTGTGATTCCGGCTACTAGCACACCCTACCATTTCTAGAGCTTGTCAGGACAATTTTCAGTGCCAATAGGTCTTACCGTAAAAAATACACAACACTCANTTATTGGTTCTTGAAATATTAAAAAAGATCGTCTCTTTAGTTCCAAAAACATGTTATTAAACGGTTTGTAACGATTCATGCAGAAAGTAACCCACAAAGAACGTGTGTGTGTGTGTGTGTGTGTGTGTGTGTGTGTGTGTGTGTGTGTGCCTGAGTGCCTGAGTGCCTGATGTGTTTCAGCCTTAGAGTCAATTGCATTTATCAGTATCGCAATATCCAATGTTTTCTGAGAAAAAGTGTAATCTGCTGAAAACACCTATGTGGAACAGTGGTTTGGCTCTCAGTAAATAAACTCTCAGTAAATAAACTCTCAGTAAATAAACTCCCCGAAGGGATATACATGATCATTTCTCTACTATCGGCAAGGACACAGTTCTATTGCCAGAATTCATAGTTGTGGTTGCTGTGATTGTTGTGTTTGTTGTTCCCAATCCAAAGTCAGCTTTCAACAGTTTCCTCTGTAGAAACTGGGGACAAAAGGTGGAAATGTAAGCGTCTTTGAACCCTGAGTTACAAAAGCAGTAAACCAGCGGGTCCAGCAGGCAGTCGCTGTAAGACAGCACCATGAGGCTGTCGTACACCTGAACCACAACGTCCTCTTCGACCTGCAAGTCCATCAGCCTGACGGACAGCAGCACCGCTCTGGCTATAGTGCTTGGCAGGAAGCAGAGGGCGAACACGACAACGACCGATATGACCACCAGCACGGCTCGCCTCAGTTTGGTCTTCTCGCCCACGGTCTTCCTCCGCAGCCGGTTCACGATGCGCACAGTGCAATAGACGAGGATGATGAAGGGGATGATGATCTGAGTGAAGTAGACGATCTGAAAAGAGAAGTGACTTTGAGTATGACACCCAACACAGAAAAAGAACACTAATGGACCTACAGACAGGCCTCGGGGTCACATTACATGTCAATGAGCTTATATCTGAAACAACATATATGTCCATCCTGTGGACATGCCTTCTGGAGCCATTTGGAGTCAGGATTTTGAGGTTTGTGACTCATATTGAAACAAAGTCAACTCTTCATGCTTTTTCTTGTCTTGTTTTGTCTGATTCACAGTCCAAAACACAGGAACAACAAGTGTTCTGTTTTATTCGATAGTCACATACAATATCATTCAGACAGAATTTAACATGCTATTGCAAGCTCCAAATCCTTCTCGGATTTACAGGGTGTTGAAATAGCCTTTGGGCAAAAACCTGTAATGACTGGCAGCTTCATAGGAAGTTTGTTTAAATGCGAGAGGAACTGTTAATAGTTAAATTACTTTTTATTGTTGAAAGCTTTGGTAGGATTAACTCTCTGATGTCAGAGTATATATTGGGCTTTTGTTCATGCTCACATCGTTATCATTATGGCCTTTTTTGTTTCCATTTTTTAGCTACTAAAATATTTTACAGCTATGTCGAACTAAATGGACTGTAATTTTTATTGCTTTATAGCAGTCTTTGCAACACCTAAATGCACTTTAAATATACAAGTCAGCATTCAGCCATTCACACAGAGGCAGAGGCTGCACACATTCACACACATTCACACACATTCACACACATTCACACACATTCACACACATTCACACACATTCACACACATTCACACACATTCACACACATTCACACAGAGGCAGAGGCTGCACACATTCACACACATTCACACACATTCACACACATTCACACACATTCGACTCACATTCACACACATTCACACACATTCACACACATTCACACACATTCACACTGAGGCAGAGGCTGCACACATTCACACACATTCACACACATTCACAAACATTAAGAGCAATTTGGGCTCAACGCCGACTTTCCAGTTGGAGGACAACCATTTACCTCCTGAGCCATAGCCTCCCCGCAATATAGCAAATCAAAACACAATAAATCCAAACAATACCTCTCGAAAGGTGTCCGTCACATCGTGAGAAGGCGTCTCTTCTTTACGGCCGTGGCTGTTGCAGCACTCAAACGTTTTGACCATAGTGGGGATGGTGAGGGGCAGCAAGAGAACCCAGATGAGGATGGAGATTTGAGGCGTTTTCTTCAGCACTTTGACAAAGTTCCTCCTCCCGAGATGAACCACATTGAAGTATCGGTCGATGGAGAGCGTGATGAGGAAGGCGATGCTGGCCCCTCGGTTGAGAAACAGCATGAAGTGCATCGTCTTACACTCGGCGTTAATTGGGCTGCGTCTCTGGCCCTTTTGGTAATGGTAAACCTTGGCAGGAAGAATGGCCATCAGCAAGAAGTCCGCAACCACAATATTGAACAGGAAGATACTTTTGTTCTTCCAGAACTTGTACCTGAAAGAGGAAGCCATTGACAAGCTGTTATTTATTCGGCATCTCAAGTTATACAAATGTACAGAATCTCTGCGTGGCTATAGTCTGACAATTCATCCAACTGAAGCACTCTACTTAATGTAATTTATGAAGACTCAAACGGGAATCGCTGCAAAAAGAGTTCTTTATCAGCATATTAATGCATATTTTAATCTAGGGTTATGATCATTTTGTTATTTCATCTGCTTCTTTTTTTTGCACTGTATAATTTAGTGGTAGAAATGTAAAATCGTGCCAAAGAAAACACCAACATATCTGCATGCATGCTGAAGCTCCGGCTCTCAGATATTATCTTTACCCACAGCACGCTATGTTCTCTAGATTTATCAGTTTATCTCAAGACAGACAGTGCTCATCTTGTTGGAAAAGCATTTCACGTCAATTCAATTGTTAAATATAGTCTGATTTTGAAGTGATGTTTTAAAGAAGTGAAATTGCAAGGCATTTCAAAATAGCTTCCAAAAATGGCTACACTACCCTAATCAGCCTAAAACCTTTTTAACAACTATTTAACATTCATGTGGTTGTTTTTATATTTAATAATTTGCTTTTGAATTCTTAATAATTAAAATATCTTGATAATTGTTAAGTGTATTGAAAACATGCAGGTTAGTGATCTAGCACGTTAAGTACAATTGGTTCACTGACCTAAAATAAGCTGTCCTAGACAACTGAAATGAACCATTAACAAGTTTTTTGCCAACAAATAAGAACCCAATCTGGATCTAACTACTGGCCCCTATTTTCTTTCCTCTAGTCACTTGACTGAGCATGCATGTATTACATTTCCCTGCAAAGAGTCATGAATCGACACTTATTCATTGATTGAATCAAGAAACAACTTGACTGAGTCACAGCAGGCTAGACGCTCTTCACAACTGCTTGACCAATTTTAACGTTGGCATTATTTCAGCTTTCTTTCAAAGAACTGTCAGTCCTCCAGGTTATAGAAAGTAATACTGGTAGTTATCTGGATTAATCCATCCTATCCCTAAGTGCCCTTATTGGGGTGTTTTTGGGCGATATTGTCATCGAAATTACTGGCGAAAGTAGGGGTAATCCCAGCTGACAAATCACGCAGCAAGTTCAAGGCTTTTGGCTAAATTTTAAATGTCCCCGTCCCTGAAGGCGTTACCGACCTAATTTTTGAGTTATTTCAGAAAATAGTAAATAGGCATTAAAAGAGAGATTTTGTGACTTCATACCTGAAGATGAAGATGTAGAGGACCGACAGGTTGAGAGGCAGACCCAGCACGAACTCTCCAACCATCACCCAGGAGAGGACTTCATACGTGAAATTATTGGGTACTTTGCAGTGGTCAATCGTTGAATTCACAGACATGTTTTGGTCTGGTGCATAAGAAGTCATTGAGAAGCAGTAGAAGAAGTTGATGTCAAAGTAGTCCTATTCAACGTTATGCCAAAGCAATTGAAAGCATAACGGTGAAATGTGTTGCCAAGCAGGGTAAATCCTTTTTCTTTTGGAGTTGGTGGTAGCTGCCTCTAACCCGCAATCTTCTTCTTAGGCACTGATTCACTGGGATCCGTCAAATTCAACAGTCGGCTTGTTAGATCCTCAAAGTGATCCTGGAGACTCTGTCTGTGCAAAAAACATGCTGAGGAACCATGCACCGTGCACACAGCATGAACTGAAAAAAGTACTGAATACAGAGAAGAAAAAAACACCCTTCCTCAGTCAGCCTGCAAGCCCTTTTTATGTGAGACTGCCTCCGACCCTTCAGAGAGGAAATATTTTTTGTCAGCTGGAGGTGTGGTTTAAACTTTGAGGCTTTAATGACACAGACTACAACATAACAAATGCATGTTGTAACCATTTGCATGGCATTTTGATTCATTCGATCTACTGTAAGTGATAAGAGAAGAGGGCATACACTGCAGTTTCGGTTTTACACATGACGTTGTAACTGGAAACTGGCAGTTAAAGGTGTTTTCCAGCAGAATTGGGTGAAATAATTGTGAAATTCCTCAGGTGTCTGCCCATATGAAACCATCATGCCTGCACATGTCTAGTTTTATTCTTGGAGACAGTGACGTTATGAGAACAATTGTGCATCAAGGAAAATGACAAAACATATGGCAGGGAATGTACTACTGTATACTGATGGTACCGCATTCATTTACATTTTAATTATGTTTCGCAGGGTTAAGGTTGAGGACAACAGGAAGCAGCAGGATTATTCATGCTTGTGTATAAAAGTTTGCAAGGAAGATGTATTTTTGTAGGCCGACCTAGAAGTTCATATTTTCCAAAAAGAGCCCATGAGATTTTCCCTTTGGATTGTTGCGGAGAATTGCAAATTGAAGTGTGTAACACCAAAACGTTTTGTTAAGTCAGATATATGGCAGAATCTCTTAAACTTGTGTGCCCACCGAACATATTTTAATAATCTAACCAAAAACCCATTCAAAAAACCCATCGACCTCAATACAATGAAATCAAAAACAGCAACTAAATTCAAGGATCTCGGACTCATTTGTGCATCATTCACTATTCATTTCCCGCTTTGTAGTGAATAAAAATTCAGTTCATTCTGATGAAAGTTGAAGTTATATGCCAACAAAAATTTCGCAATACAAACGGCACTGAGCTTCTCAAATATTTCTGGCACTGTATCGAAGTATTACAAGTGCTTCTCTGGGCTTTCAGCCAGTGTCGTTTAAACAGAATCAGAATACCTTCATTAGTCCTACAGTTATTTCTCATTTAAAATGTGTACCTACTGCTCTGGGGAATAACATTGCTCTTTCAACACCCGTTCCATGGAAGTATTTATCAACAAAGTTGCCAATAATAGAATGAAGTCATGATCAAGTACACACTTTCTCAATGGTGGTAAAGTGGGTTCAATCAAGCCCCCAGGAGGAGCGCTGGACTCTGTGCCCAGCATTCGTGTCCAAACGGCGGCACTGCAACTTCCGTATCAGTCCGTGACGTCACCCGGCGCAAAACAACTTTTCCCCATTGACTAACATGGGGAAAGAGACGTCTGTAAATCAGCGGATACTTTTTAAAAAACTAAATAAACTACCCAGTATGAACTATTTTATAGCCCTTATTAGAATCATTAAGTCCTTAAAGTTGTAAAATGCACTAAGTGCATTTTACAACTTTAAGGACTTAATGATTCTAATAAGGGCTATAAAATAGTTCATACTGGGTAGTTTATTTAGTTTTTTAAAAAGTATCCGCTGANGTGTGCCTTGGCAGTCTCAGGTCAACCACTTCTTGGACTTTGGTTGCCATCAGAGGCAACCAGTTTATAACAAAGAAATAAGGACAGCAAAATGTGCACCCCAAAATAGATAAATGTAAATTATTTGTTGTATTAAGAGTGATATTTAATTATTGTTGTGACCAGTCGGAACCTGAAACTTAAGTTGCACGTGCATTGGTGTGATTACGGAGCCAGAAAGCCATGCACGTATACTCGCGTGCGCGGTGCGCAGTGTGTTTGTTTTACAAAAAATGGCGAAGCAAATTAAGTTGTTTGACTGTGGGGTAAAAAGTTCGGCCAACCCGTCAACATCTCAAACAAATGTTCAAAGTGATTCAACTGATAAAGCGCAAGGTGAACCCGAACGAACCCATGGATGCATAATAAGAACTGGATACAGCGTGGGAGGCAGGGTCTCGTTCTTTCCTATGAGAGCTGCTCATTGGCGCATGAAGACGAAATGGCCCAACTTTTGAGAGAGCGAAACGTCACAGATTACCCATCATGCCTGGCTGTCAGAGCAGAAGAACCCGTATAGAGTGGCGAAGTCACGCCCATTTACTTCCGGTCCATGGGACCCTATTTCGGAAAAATAATGCATTGAAGTCAATGGAGAGAGAAAACGTATCTTTCGATCACGTTTGAATTNACTTAATTTGCTTCGCCATCTTTTGTAAAACAAACACACTGCGCACCACGAACGCGAGTATACGTGCATGGCTTTCTGGCTCCGTAATCACACCAATGCACGTGCAACTTAAGTATCAGGTTCCGACTGGTCACATCAATAATTAAATATCACTCTTAATACAACAAATAATTTACATGTATCTATTTTGGGGTGCACATTTTGCTGTCCTTATTTCTTTGTTATAAACTGGTTGCCTCTGATGGCAACCAAAGTCCAAGAAGTGGTTGACATTTTTTCTGAATGGTTGCCAATGGCAACCTGGCAACCGTTACTGTCGAGCCCTGGTTAGATTGATGTTTACACCTTCATCAAGTCAATTTAATTCATACACCCCAATATAACAAATCCCAAAGGGTTGAACAATCAGTACAGCACATTACACTTTCTTTTTGACCCCTGCTTTGGATAAAGTAACCCTTCAACGGGGAAAAGGTAACTTTAAAAAGAGATTCTACCGAGTGCTTTGGCAGACAAAGGATATACCAATAGAAGGATAAACATAAGGCCAACAAAAGCAAGACAAAATGAATGATCACTATATACAAATAAGAAAAATAATCATAAAAGGTTTAAAGAACTTTTGAACATCTACTTTATACAACTACAAAGCTCTGCTGCCGTTCTCTCTAGCAGACTTAGTAAGGTGATCACTAATGATTTACAACTTTAACATAAACTGACTACCAGACTTCACTTTCCTGCAAGTGAAGTCTGTTAGCGTGACAATATTTCACCACTGTGTCACGCACTGTCACGTACCTGATGTAATATTGCACCGAAGAGCAGTGCCACATAACTTCTGCTGCACAACACATGTCTTAACGGCGAGGACATTTCGAAATGTAGTCTGTTGCACCGCCGACCACAACAACGTATGTTTGATAGTCATTGCCAAATTGCTAAGTATACACCTATCATCCTGAAACACCTTTATAGGTAGAAACAAATACTCCCAAATGTGCCATTAGGAAACATAAGATTGAGTTATATGTGTATAATATGCTTGGGGATTAAAGTTTCAGCAGAAAAAGGAAGTACTGAAACAGATGCATATGATAGATAAGTAACCAAATTACAGTAGAACTAGACAGTGGTGCACCAAATACGCAGTAAAAAAAGACATGTTAACTCTTGCACAAGCCTTGTGAGATCAAACATTAACACTTAGGCATGGAATCAGTTCGAGAAATATTTCCAATATAGTGATTCTAACTAGAATTACTTTATTTTGTTGAGTAGTGTAAAATGTGTCTAGAAGAACTAAAGCTTGAAGCCTTATTATTTTTAATCTAATTAATGTTGATGTTTGCTGGCTCCAAAACATCTACCTGGCAACACAGCATCACAAACTAGGCCTTAGACCTGCGATCTGATTCACTATATCTCATGCATATCTCGAGTTAACATTGGTGTATTTTAGGATATAACTATGTTTCACTTCCTCGATCTTCTGTAAGATAGCCTTGTTAAGCTTTGCGTTCTCAAACATGCTCAACTTCCTGATACTTTTTTGTGGACTTAACTTGATTTCTTAGATTTATAAATAAACATGTGTTTGTGCTTGAATTTAAATTACATTGCATTTAGCTGACGCTTTTATCCAAAGTGACTTACAATAAGTGTGTTCGACCAACAAGACTTGAAGAAAACAGAATCATGTAAGTACATAGAGCTAAAACATTTCAAGTGCTACTCAACTGGCTTTAGATAAGCCAGCCCTTTATTAGTATATAAGTGCTTTGTTAATAGTTCTATCTCTCGAAGTGGAGTCCAAAGAAATGAGTTTTCAGTCTGCGCCGAAAAGTGTGTAAGCTTTCTGCTGTCCTGATTTCAATGGGGAGCTCATTCCACCATTTTGGAGCCAGGATAGCAAACCCACGTGTTTCTGCTGATGGGAACTTGGGTCCCCCTCGCAGTGCGGGTGCAGCGAGCTGTTTGGCTGATGCAGAGCGGAGTGCACGTGCTGGGGTGTACGGTTTAACCATGTCCTGGATGTAGGAAGGGCCAGATCCATTCACAGCATGGTACGCAAGTACCAGTGTCTTGAAGTGGATTCTAGCAGTTACTGGAAGCCAGTGAAGGGAGCGGAGGAGCGGCGTGGTGTGGGAGAATTTAGGAAGGTTGAAGACCAGACGAGCCGCTGCATTCTGGATGAGCTGCAGAGGTCGGATGGCACATGCAGGTAGACCAGCCAGGAGGGAGTTGCAGTAGTCTAGGCGTGTTTTTCATACATTAGCCACATTGTTATATACATATCAATTTCATTAAATATCCCTAAACAATGTCGATCAGCCTTGTAGATAAAAACCAACCATTGGTCAAACTTATTTTCTCCCACTTGAAGCACATCATAAGTTTTAACAGGAACATAAAAGTTACACACGGCGTGCATTGCTCTGAGTTACTGTTTTCCTTTGTGGTTGGACCACATTTAGAAGATCGGAAGTTATTATGGCGCAAATTCCTTGTTTAAAGCAGAATGAATTGAATCATACATCGTCACGCATATTGCAGGATTTGGGTAAAAAGTTTAAAGTTTGGAAGAAAATATCCGAGTTGGAGTTAGAAATTGTGTTGTTCTCACACTTCAATGTTATCTTGATTCTCTGAGCATTGTAGTGATTTGTAGGAAGGAAAATCCTTTACATAATACTCACAATATTACACTCTACCTTGAGCAAACGTTGTGATTGTGCAACTGTTGTGAAAGACATTATCTATGTGTGATGCATTTAAAAAGCAGAACCATGCTGACTCACTGAGGTATCTTGATGATGAGCATACAGAGCTGTGTATTACAGTATCCGTTCTCAGATATTCACGTCTGCGTATACTTATCTTCATTTTAATTTTTTCATCTACGTCCAACACACTCTGACTTAGTGGCTGCCTCTGTGATTTCCTGCAAAACAGAACACAGTTATTTTATCAAGAAAAATCCTGTCCACTCATAATGAAAATGCAAAAACACACTTGAAGAACTGTTATGGACAAACACACACAGTGACCTCTGTATTGTAATGTGTACCCATGTCTAAGATACAAAGTTTCAAAGGCTCTGTTGTCCGCTGTACCATGCATATACCGGGTACAAATAAAAACTGTAAGAAAGCAAGTTCAGATCCAGCCAAATCCGCCGATGTGTGATGCCTCAAAAAATAATATAACGGCATATACTCAATCTAACTTAGTTATCGCTGTGTACTCCTCAACACTTAACACACGGAGTGGCTTTAAATCTCCATGGAAGGAGTTTTTCAAAAGGTGAACTATCTTCCGCAGTACGTGTAGACGAATCAATGACGATGTAATTTACAGAAACTGAGTTGTTTACTTTGTCCGCATTTAAGTACGGTTTTGGACCCGTCTAGTGTTTCCTCCCACACACACGGACTCTAAGAAGTTGCATGTCTTATTTCACGTATTTTCAAGTAATCTGCCCTCCTTTCTCTTTATCTCCGTCTCCGTCTCTCGAAGGCCTGATGTTTTCTGCCTGTGTGCGTTACCAAAGTGCTTCCTCTGATCAGGACGCTTTTAAATTGATAACAACTACGTCGCATGACCTACATTTGTCTGAAAATAGGTTGCAAAGAAAGTTAGTTTTATTCTCTATTCACATGCCGTCACATAGGTTTGATATTATCATCATAGAGACACACAACTATAGCACATACAAAAAAAATGAGTGTTTTCTGTTTTTAGAGAAAGATAATACAACAAGGAGTACACAAAAATATATTCAAGCCAAGGAAGGCCGAGAAGTATCTCGCTTCCCCCTTTTTTTTTAAAAAACGTCCTAAATACATTTTCCTTGAGAAAGTGATTCTCTCATTACAAATATTTCATATTTACAAATATTATAAGATTTCAAAACAACCTGTTTAAAGCCAGATGCGACCTTTGAGTCGAATTTGAGATTTGACGTGTGAGCTGTTTTATTCAAGCTTTTATATTTATTCCAAAAACATTTTGGATGTACTTAATAAAATCATATACTGCGTTAATCGACATTGATCACCATTTTCATATTAACCATGAGACACATGTGTAGTGTGAAATGAATCCCTCATAATGACAAAGCCACGGAAAAATGCCAGCCCCCCCCTTTTTGTTTTTGGTGAAGTCAGATGTTTCTTGCATTAAGACATCCTTGTAGTGCATTCTTTTTATTATTTTCAACAACAAAAAAATACCATTAGTTTTATAGAATGTCAAATATATTATTATATATCCTAAATATATATATTCTTTTTTTTTGGCTGCTTTATGGATGTTTTTTTTGTATTATTTAGTCATCGTTTTGGCTTTACTGCACAAATCCTCTTTGGTTCTCTCCTTTTCTCACACTCTGATTGTCAATAAGCTCAGAGGGGACACGCGTTCATGCATTTGGCTTAATACGTCACCAAGGGCAGGACTTTTACTTATAAATAAGTGTCTATTATATTCAAGCCTTTGCCAAACAAGTTTACTCAATAAGACTATCGCCATGAGGGACAAGTCTCTGTATTTCGCAGTCTCCTGGAAAGCAGTAAAACTTCCCTTGCCTTACTGGAAAGGGAAAGACCACTCCTACAGAGCAGCAGGAGGAAGCTATGGTTGAAAATCCTAAGTAGCGTCCAAAGAAAAGTCTGTGTTGTGTTTGCTCCAGATAAACAATAAACTCAGTGTTAGGAGGAAGTATTAAATAAAAAGGGGCGAGGACGAGCAGACTCCCCTGCAGGCAGTAGCCATGAGGGCAGTGTTTGTGTATTTACTCTGTCTGCCAGAGGGGGGAGACAAAAACTCTCCAACTTGAATAAAGCAATACAACTAAACCCAGATGTTCCCCTGAGACCACAATTGTGGAAACATTGAAAGAGTTTTTCCGTCTCACCAGAGGACTGTAAATATAAGAGGAAACAGTTGAGCAACATTGCATATCGAACAAATATGTTAAGTAAGCAGAGTTCATGCATTTCTTCTGCATTTGTCATCTCATCTATTTTGGAGAAGGCATCATTGTTAGTACTGCAGTATAAGTTCATTCTCCATCTACAATACTTGCAGTGGTAAAAAGAGCTCCTTGCACACATAAGAGATGTGTGAAGTTTCTAATGATTGGCCCAAATTATTGTTTTTGAGTCATTCAATAGTTTAAGGTCTCATAATTCTATCTATGTGGTTTTCTTTTGAATTATGTGACCCTGCAAAACGTCCTCTTAAACCGTTTCCTGCCTTTCCAGCTCCCAGTTTTCCCAGAGTCCACTCCTCCGTCAGAAGGAGGCCTGAGGATCGTCGTCCTGTCTCCACATGTCGCTGCCACGGTGAGAAACGACGACTCAATTCACACACACGAAAACAACAGATCTTTTCTCACCCAGTTCTCTTATCAACATGTACAGTCCTGTTTTGAGAAAGATTGGTTCCTCTGGTAACTTGAAAAAATAGACTCAGGGATATGATGAATGGGCAGAAAGCAAATAGACGGCTCCAAACACAAGTAAAAAACATTTCAACAATTCTACATATAGGTGCTTTAAAGAGGACATAAAATGCTCATTGTCAGGTGAATATCAATATGTAGTGTCCCTACTTTAAAGAGTCCTCTCCTGCTGATGTTCAGGTGTATATCAGTATGTAGTGTCTCTACATGTCTCCATGCTTTATTGTTCAAAAAGCTCTTTATTGTTCTCATACTGCCTGTGCTGCTGCACCTCTTTTCACCCTCTGTCTGAAACCAGAGCCAACCGCTTGGATACGTCCCGCACCTTAGTCTATTACGTTTAATGTAGGAATTAGTTTCAGTCAGGTGTGTTGGAGAGAAACTCTGGGGGAACTTTTTCTATTAAGCTTTTTCCATATTCGGGGTGTAGACTCCGTATTTTACTAAGAAATATGGAATTTCTAGAGGATGGTAAGTTTGTTATTTAATAAGTTTTATGAACTCCGACCGGCAGGGTTTACCAGAGTCTTAGATGTGGACGCCTTTCTTCCGAAGACGGTCTCGTCTCCACTCGTTATTTGAAAAACAGGGATTATTTCTAGCGTCAAAAACCTTTTCAAGGACTGGGACTGGTCGATACCAACAGGGATATTCAATTAAGAATTTAACTATAGGGTTTGATCGGTTACCTCCCTTTTTTTGTCGGGATGTTTCCGACCCCAACACACAAGAAGCCCACGTTTAGACTGTCTAAATGATCAAATAGTTAGTACTTTGAAGCATAGTTGTCGGACATGAACTTGTTATACCACCTCCACGGAACGATTGTGACATTTTACTACTTTGTCTACAAATCATTTCGTTTATGAAATGTAAAACTAAGTTCTATATCAAATATATACTAAATAAAGTACTCTAAAAAATTTACTTGATCAAGCGAGTTGTCTTGAAGTATTAAATGTTGTTATGCTGCTTTAAATCCTGTGACAGTTCCAAATAAGTACCACGCCAAGGTCCTACCACCGGTATGTGTATTGCCAGACAAAAAGTTTAGGACCTACGATCCGGACAGCCAGCCCCGGAAATCACGGATGGAACAAGCCCTGAAAGGTTCCTTTGACCTCCGTCACAAATATTGCAACAAAATTGGGGTTTGGTATGACGTAATACAAATTAAGATACTATTCGTCAAGTGGATCAAGGAAGTTGTTATGTACTACTGGTATTGGACGTATAACCTGTAACAACTGATAAGTTCGACTAGTTGTTAAATCGTACAGTAAATTCAAAGCATTGATTAATGAATCACTTTTTTGTGTGGAAATTGTCATCTAAAATTCCACAACTGTTACGATGTAGGGAGAAATACTCCTCCGATAGTGGTTTACGGTTTAATAGATTTTTCCCGGGTTATCACGAAAAACCCCATACGGTAAAGAGTCTGTGATACAGTTAATGCATTAACATCCGTACATNTCTCATACTGCCTGTGCTGCAGCACCTCTTTTCACCCTCTGTCTGAAACCAGAGCCCAGTCTGCTCTGATTGGTTAGCTGGCCGGCTCTGTTGTGATTGGTCAACCGCTTAAAGATGCCCCGCCCCCTAGCCTATCACATACAATGTGTTGGATCACAATCTTGTATCCAGTATATTTAATAAGTTCTGTGACGTAATAAAAATCTAGCTACATGTTTACTTTGATGTCCTGACCCTTTACTATTTATTTTCATTCTTATTTCCTGCTCGTTTGTAAAAGCAGAAAGCAATAGACTTCAGTGATAAAACAGCAGGTAGTTGTAATGACTAGGCCAATAATACATATGATAGGAAATGTGTTTGAGCCATGAGCTTGAAATGCACTAATGTTAGATCATCCTTGTTCATCCTCTGGGATTAGTCATAAGGCTGACGTGCTGTTTTCACATCACTGCTTTCACCTTAAAGACTGTATGATCACCGAAACGTGTCAAACATTTACCTCTTTCGCAATACTTTGGACCAAAAACTTCCGGAGGTATTTTTACCCTTTTATGACTTGCTTATTTTTCCAATGCAGTCAGTACTCAAAACAACACCCACTCTTTATCCCAAGGCAGAAGTTTCAAGATTGCTCAAATGCATGTTGACTCATATTTGAACCGGTGGGAATTTTCTTGTTATTATCACCTGACGTATGTTGTTACAGTAGATTACTAGCTTAAAATGCATTTATTTGAAATCCATCTGTTTTTAAAGGTCCCATCTCATGGCCATTTCTACTGATCATAATTCCATTGTTGAGGTCTACTAAAATAGCGAGACACAGTGAAACCCAGCCCCATGGCGCATTAATGATATACTTTCCCCATTGAAACCACACCTGACACCATTTTTTCATACTCTCCTAGTATACAACAAACATTAGGGTGGCAGAAATAGCGTTTTTTGAATTGTTGTTAGCTTGTAAACATTGCGTTATTTAAGGTCATGGCACTGTACACTATGTGACTTTAGGACACGTGTGCCTCTCTTTACTCGGTGCATATTTGCAGATCTTATTAACATACAGAGTTACAAGTTGTCAGTTATGCAGATGTAACATCGGTGCTGGCAAAGTATGTGCGTGGCAAAGTAGCTTCTTCTTCCTCAGTTGTGTTCCCACCTTTTGTCATAAATGAGATTTTATGACTAAATTCCACTTTTGCATAAGGTTGTATAATATTCCACGGCACAAATGTGTCATTGTATTGTTTTAACTATTCACACAACGTGTCACAGATACAAAGCAATGACTTGTTTTATGATACACAATGATTAGTACATTGACATGACATTGAACCCAGTCACCTGATGGACTAGTTCAAATGAGTAATGCCTTTATCTACAGTATATCCAGACAGACATACCCTTACTCACTGCACTATTACTGTTCATGAGGTCATCAAGGTGAGGATAACTTATACCGTACATGGACAGTGGAGTTTCTGTAATTAAGGCAGAGTATTGTTTAGTCTTGTCAAAGGTAGGAGTGATGATTCATTCCTGTAAGGCATGTGATTTTCCTTGTTGTCAAAGTGGGATTTTCCAACCCTGACTCTTAAAGAATGCTTTTCCCATGAAACCAAACTGTATTCTCAATTACATTCAGAGGGACACATGTTTTACTCTGGATTCAATCGATGTTTTAAAACGATACAAATTGAACCAAAGCTACTATTTGGTCATGTTCAGTTCTGGTTTGGCTTAACTAAGGTTTTTTTTTGTCATTTCAAATGAATCAACGTAGACTTGTGGTTTCACATTTCAAACAAATACATGTCTCCTGTGTTTGTTGACCCCTGCCTTACGCAGACTGCTACAGATTTCTTTAGAAATGGATTTGTGAAACATCGACAAATAAACTTATCCAACATAAAATCGGTTTCCCTCTAAACTTAATTGAGAATGCAGCTGTATTCCCATATGTAGTTGTATGGGAATGTTCTTTTTTGGAACCCAAACTTGATCTTCACATATGCAGTAAATAGTGAACATAATGAGGGACAGTTACGTGTCTTTTTATTATTAGAAAAATATGTACAGTAACATATAAACCCCTCTCTCTCTCTCTCTCTACATACAGCATAGAAAGTGATATTCCATCATAAATCAACATTAAGATCAGCTTCCTGTATGGGCCTTCAGGTTTAAGTCTTATGTAATAGGGGAATGACCTCAATGGCTATATGCTTCAGTTACATACACTTCATTCCCCCTCTTACATTTCCTTAGTTTGGACATTTCTTACCATTTGCAGCTTCATAGACAATGTTTGTCCCAAGACATGTTTATATTTTCTGTGCTTTAATTGATGGCTTCAATCACTAGAGGTTGCTACACAGTGGAAGCTAAGTTACAAGTCATCTGAGGTTAATATGATTTGAAAGATCACATTCTTCTGAGAGCATTTGAAAGGATTTTTTAAAGTCAAAAGTAGAAACTGAAAAACAGATGTGCATATTTTTGGCAGACGGGCATTCCCCTTAAAAAGAACCTCATGTTTCACAAAAATAAAATCCACCAACATTAATATTCTATTGCATCTATAGTACATCTACAGTGCTAATAAAAACACACACTCTGGTAGAACAAGATCTTTCTATTTACATATGTATATACTGCTATTCGAGCATCTATAGAAAGTTAAATAACAACTGTCTTCACTTGCCTTCAGAGTCCCCTTTCAAAGTAAGCACTTTTTTGGGGGGGGTGTGGCACACTGTCAGTCTCAGGTAGTAATCTGTTTAGGCTGCTTGACACAGAGAAACAGCCTGGTGTGAAATGGTTTTCAAATGACAGTATTGCGTGCAGGTGGGAGTGTGTGTCCCGCCGATGAGCTTTCTATCGGCACTTGACCGTCCTTCACTAAGAACGGGAAGTAAGTAGAGCAGTAAAGCCCTTTGAACTTGGTGCTGCAGAAGCAGTAGACCAGCGGATCCAGAAGACAGTCCATGTAGGAGAGCACCATGAGGCCGTCGAAGAGCACCGCAGCTTTATCCTGCTGGGGCAGAGGCCACTCTTGGACGCGGGCAATCAGCAGAATCATCCTGGCAATGGTGCAGGGGAGGAAGCAGAGGGAGAACACCACCATGACGGAGGTCACCAGGAACACCGCTCGCTTCAGCTTCGTCCTGTCGCCCACGGTCTTTTTCCTGAGCCGGTTGACGATGTGCACGGTGCAGTAGACCAGGATGACGAAGGGGATGAGGATCTGGGTGAAGAAGACCACCTCTCGCAAACTGTCCACCACATCCTTCAATCAGAAGAAAAGATCAAGTTAATCGTCTTTTTTATATCAACAACAACAAATTCTCGTTAACACTCGGCCCTTGTGTCTCTACCAATTGTGTCAGTATCAGGACA